GTGGATGATGCTGTCCTGAAGTTCTGGCCTTTTTGTACACTTGTTTGACTCTGGCTTCTCCGACAAAGCTGTGCCTTTCCTTCTGGCTCAAGTTTTGGTTCAGGGATGTGTTTCTCAAATTCAGGCAATTGTTACTTTTTTGAAAGCTGCAGGGAAAAATATCTAATATGCACACATACTAAAAATCTCACAGCCCGGGGGAAATAAGGGTCCAACCACGGACTAAGAGAAGGAAAAATGGCCTTTTATTGAGGGGTGCACTGCTTTGTTTATATAGGATGTGGGGAGAAGGTGCTGGAAAGGTAGGTGGGCTCAGGGCAGAGCATGCAAATGATGGACACATAAGGATAGAAGGGGATGGCTTTAACCTTAGATGGGGATTACTAGCTATGAGGGAACCAACTCAGTAAGGAAATGTTGTAATACAGCAGTGGGATACAAATCAGGGAAAAAGGGATAAACATGGAATATAGAACAAAGGGGAACTTCCATATAAAATATTAAACAAGGGGGTACAATAAAAGGTGCAAATAAAATATACATAACACATGAACCTAAACACAGGTCTCCACAGCTCCAATGATTATTTGCATGTATTAAAAGTGTAGTTTTCAGGAGTTGCACAGAGGTTCTCTCAGGTATCCTGATCTCGTTTCTACATCTCATAAGTTTTTTTCTCCATCTCCGACATAGATCTATATATATACACCCATATATATTAAGAAAAAAGAATATTTATATGTATTTACACACAGAACTAATAGGATGGTGGTTTTTAGATTTGTGTGTGCATGATGCTTTTACGGTTTTTCATTTGTGTCTGTTTTGGTCGCAGCATAGGTACTATAGTGTTTGGACAGTGGGGGTCAGTTACCACAGTAACTGTGCTCTGAGAAAGTTCAAATATCTATCTGCTCTTGTTTTGGAATATTTATTACAGAAAAACTATTATAATTTATTAGCTCTATGTGCATTTCAGGCTGTTTTATGGAAACATATGGTTCTCTCACTGTTCCTATGTTTCTGGTTATGAAAAATCAGTGAATATCTAGTGAGGTTGGTGCTGCCTAAAATGCCTTTTCCAGGTCCTCTTCTTGTCCAAACAGACAGCTGTAAATCAGTGAATCAGCATCTAAGCACCTACCTATCTTGTTATGACAGAGTACAGATCTTAGTATGTCAGTATGAAACCAAAGATGATAATTAGCACATCTGTTACATTTTTAATGAGTAAGGCTTGTATAAAAGCAGTCTTATTCTCCTTGCTGCCTTCATGTAAACCTAGGGGATAACTCTGACTATCCATAGTTGGTGATTCTGACTGAAATAGTTGTTTTGTTGACTGTTACTTGTGGTTTTGTTTTTCCCGTCCTATGAAAGAGACTATGCCTAGGTATGCCTACCCTTTGTAGGGACAAGGGATTTCCTTAGGGATTATCCATAGGGATTCAAAAATATGCCACAGATGTTTTCTCAAGAAACTTAATTTAAGAAGATAAGAATGTAATTGAACACACTTTTTTTTTTTTTTTTAATAGCTTTTGAGATGCTTGTGATATGGTTTTTGGTGCTTAAACTAAAATAAAAAAAATCTGAAATTTTGCAGAAGACTGATCATAGAATCATAGAATTAACTGGGTTGGAAGAGATCTCCAAGATCATCAAGTCCAACCCTTGATCTAACTCCACTGTGATTACCAGATCATGGCACTCAGTGCCACATCCAGCCTCATCTTAAAAACCTCCAGGGATGGTGAATCCACCACCTCTCTGGGCAGGCCATTCCAATGCCTGATCACTCTCTCTGTAAAGAACTTCTTTCTAATACCAACCTAAACCTCCCCTGGCAGAGCTTAAGCCCGTGCCCTCTTGTCCTGATGGAGTAACTCTGTGTTTGATTCGGAGAAGTAGCATTACATTTATCCCATCTGATGGTGTGTCTTTTTGTTCATGATTCCATGATACCTGTAATATTCTTTTAATGTGACTGTAGGAAAGTATGCAAAATTGTTTTAAAGCCTACAGGAAGAGTTGCATGTATATTACTTTATGAACCTTTTGGCTCATCTGGACAATGAAGTGTGATGAAAAAAATCATAAATTATTTGAAGGGACTGGTAAGAGACTTTTAGAACAAATAGTTTTGTAAGATTTTGAAAAGATCTTGGAGAATCTCACCTCTTGGCAGTACTATAAATGAGTTATACAGTTTAATAACAACAAAATGGAGATTGGAATTTTTGGGCCAGTAAGGAATACTGAAAGGTTAAACAGACTTGAGAAGAGTGAAATAAATAAAACTAATTTCTGAAATGCTGAGTAGAGGTCTCATCCATGATGATGTAATACAGCTAAGTTAAATGTTCTTTGAAACACTGTCTTTATGGATTCTGCCTTTTGATTTTTTTAAGAGAAGATGGTTGTTCATAAGGAATTTAATGTGAATCATAATCAATGGGAAAAGCATGTAATGAATGAATTAGATGGGGCCATTTGTGAGGGTCTCCAGAGACGGGAGAAGTGATGTGTAGCAGATAAACATGGGATTAACATTTAGCAGAGGGAAGAGTCCAACATCCTGAATTGTTACTAATAAGCCCTAATGAGTGAACATCAGCCGTCCTTTGTGTTGAAAAAGGCAGGCAATTTACTAATTAAAAATAATTCATAAGGTGGCTTCTCTTTATGTATTCTACCTGTAAAATATACAAGTCAAGCTTGGAGGCAGAGTAGCAAAGTGATCCTTTTTAAGGAAGATTTTAGAGTTTATTATCTTAATACTTAACTTTAAAAGTGTTGTTTTGCTCCCTTCCATCTTTGTGTGTACACATGTAAGAGAAGAAACAAACAGCTTTTTGGAAAGACTCAGCATTAAGTAATGGAAATAGAAGGTATTGCTAATTCTCCCATGGCTCCAGCTCCTATTAACAGATACAGCATGCAATGTACAGTACTTTAAAGCCTGAATGGATACTATGTTCAGCTGACACTATGAAAATGAGATGAACATAGGTAGAATGCACTACTCTTATTTATTTTCTACATGAGGGACTTCTTGTTCTCATTGTGCTTTTTATACACTAAAGTCACAAGATATTAGCGAAGCTGAGTTTCTTTTCCCTAACTGTGCAGTATAAATGGAAATTGTGGGCAAATCTCCTAATCTCCATAGTGAGAGCAGAACATTTATCTAATTAGCAGTTTGCCCTTTGGCATTACTTTGAATAAATTAGCATTTCATTATATACCCTGAACTACTGGGAAAAAGTTTCCCAGAGTAGTATTTAGTTTTTCTTATCTAAAGAATGTATTTTAAATTAGTATTGGTTAATAATATTCTTTGTAACTGGAAAGAGACAGAGTAGCAATAGTATTGTTATTCTTAATATCAGGGGCTTGTGCTTGCAGGTTTTTTTGCTTTCTTTAATCCCCGGGAATCAGAATAAAAACTTATGTCACCTTACTTAATGACTTTCCTGGGGAAGGTGGGGGTGAGGAAAGGAAAGCAAAAAAATGGACAAGTTTGAAATACAACTTGACCTCCTCTCTCCTTCTTCAGGGAATGAACTTTTCTTTCAGATTGCGAACAGTGCAAAGCATAGTGGTGTGGACTAATCCAAAAGTTGCACTCTATCACTAATGATAAATGAGCTTTTCTACAGTATTTCCAATATAACTAATCCAGAATACACTGTCTTCTTTTCTTGCATGTATAAATCAGTGACAGGAAACTGAGTGACTAAGTTTAGGTATTGACTGTCAGATAAGAAGAGTGGCTGCTTACTATGCTTTTCCTGGACAGCTTACTGGGAATCAAAAGTTTGATGGGAAGTTAAAAGAGGTAATTCATCAAGGATAGTTTTTAATTGATTTTCTTTCTAAGTGTTCAAAAGAGCAGAAAGAAAAATCCATGGATGTGATAAAGGCTTGTAATTTCCTTTCGCTGAGTCACTGGCTGTTTCAGACCCTTGCTTACCCCTTCAGAGTGTCATTTTCTCCTCTTCCCAAAGTGGCCTTTGCAGTAGGGATGTATGGTTACACCACCATTGCCGTGGTTGCCTTTTTGTAGATGGAGGCATGCAGAGAACCTGTCAGTTTGTTTTTGCTAAATCCAGAGGAATGAAATATCTTCATTCTAGGTTCTTTGATCATGGATCAATTTACATGACACTGAGCCTGCTGGCAACAGACAGGGTACACCTGTCTCAAAGGGCAAAAAGGATCTTTGCACATCTTAGCAAGCCTCACTCACCGGGAGAGCTTTAAACAAGATTTTTAGGGGGAAGGGGATAAAATCATGATCACTGAAGAGAAGCCTGGAGGTGGCTTGCTGCTGTTTGAGAGACAGTGTGCTAGTGAGGTCCTTTGGTCTGTTGTCTTGTTAGAGGTAGGGGATGGAGATCATATGGCAGCAAGGATGCAAAGGTTATTGATGTGCTAAAAACTACAGAAGTGCCTGAGAGTGGTCGGGCAGGAACTAGAGCTTCTCCCCCTGAAAAGGTAGCGGGATTGATTACCCATCTGAAGTGCATCTACACCAGTGCACACAGCATGGACAACAAACAGAAGGAACTGGAAACAGGAAAACTGTGACAGTTGCCACCACAGAGACTTGTTGGGGCGAGTCACACAACTGAAGTGCTGCAGTGGATGGCTATAAACTCTTCAGAAGGGGGGGCAATGGGGTAGCTCTGTATCTTAGTGAGTGTCTTGATCTTAATGGTAATGTTCAGTGTTTATGGATAAGAATCAGTGGGAGGGCCAACAGGGCAGGTATCCCAGTAAGAGTCTGTTATAGACAACCCAACCAGGATGAAGAGGAGGACTAAATATTCTATAAGCAAGTGGGAGTAGTCGTATGATCGCTGGCCCTGATTCTTGTGTGATGAGCTCCCTGCAAAAAAAGACCTAGAAAATTTCTTTACTAACTTTGGTAAAATCTGGCCTCCTCCATGCAACCTCTGAGGCCAGTTAGAGTCTGGCCCTAAAAGCAGAATGCCAGAAATATGTATGTCTTGGTTGACTGTACTCCCCCTTGCTGCAGGACCCCAAAGTTTGCCTGCCACATTTTGCAGTGTCCCTTGGCTGTATCCTTCCTCATAGGGCAAATTCAGTATCTCACAAAAAAGCTCCTTGTTCCTTCTACTGTCATCTGGAGGCCTTGAACTGTACTTATAAATGTACTGTATGAACAAAGAACAGTCATTCATATCCTAGATATACATTTTAATTAATTTCTCTTTCTGTATAGCATTTTAAAGGCACTGTGCTAAAACCCTTCTATTCTCTTCCTGTATGTTGAAATAAATTTTTCTGTGTTTTTTAGTTGGTTTGATATAGTTGTGACCAAGCGTGGTTTAGTGAACATGGACATGGGATTACGTAAATTGCCAAACAGCACCCATTTTTCTTATCTGCTTGCAACATATAGTTTGTTTTAGGGAGGTTTTTCTGGGGACCCAGAAAATGGAAATGTAATGTTAGAGAATGACTGCTGTAATCTAATGGTCTGGATTTTGTTCTACAGCTTGATGACTGCACCCTTCAATTGTCTCACAACGGTACCTATCTGGATCTAGAATCTACCCTAGCAGAACAAAGAGATGAATTAGAAGGCTTCCAGGAGGATGCTGGGTAAGTAAATATTTACTATATTTAGATAAATAAACATTGAGGTTTCAGGAGAGTGTGTTCAGATAAGCATAGGAACAGAAAACATAAAAAGACAAAGATCTTTGTATGCCCATATGTCTGCCCATTTGTATGAATAAGAATTTTATACCTCTCTATCTATATTCACTCTTACAGTTTCTCTAAAAGAAGATGGCATACTGTAGAGAAATCTATTAATATGAATGTTTTCAATAGTCTAGTAAGATTTTATATTTATTTGGAACTTGATAAATGAGGATGGCTGGTTCTGAGAACTCTCAGATCTATCTTACAGTAGTAGTCAGTGTAGAGGTTTATATTGGGGTGGTGCTTCTGAAGTTATGAAATCAATTTCTTTGTACCTTGATATTTAAGTCCATCATTTATATTTTTGAAGAAAAAGCATGTATTGATTTTTTTTTTTTCATTCCTGGAATTGATTTAGCCGGCCCAGGGAATGGAGGTGCATGTTGTTTTTGAATATTCTCCTCTCTTGGATTTTTTTTTATTGATGATTGCTGGCCCACATGGACTGCTGTGACACATCTTTCCATTATCATCTGAGAACTGAAAGTGAAAGCAGAAGTTAGCTTCAGTGTGCATTTGTATGAATGAATATATAAAATTTGGTTTTTTTGAAGAATTTTCTTTTTCTGGACCTTTCTGGTGGTTATCTTGGTTAAGATGTAAAATGAACAGATTATCTGGATCTATTTTTACCTTGCTGGTTATTATATTGGACTGGATAGTTGGAATTATTTTATAGGTGTGTTTGGCGTAAATTTCACACATGTGAGTAATGTAGCTACTCCAGAAGAAAATTCATAAAATCATAGAATTACAGAATATGTGGAAATGGAAGGGACCTCTCAGGATCACCGAGTCCAACTTCTGACCCTGCACAGAACACTCCAAGAATCCCACCGTGTGTCTGAGAGCATTGTCTAAATGCTTCTTGAACTCAGACAGGCTTGGTCCTGTGACCACTTCCCTGGAGAGCCTATTCCAGTGTCCAAAAACCCTCTGGGTGAAAAACTTTTTCCTGATAATTAACTGCATATTGAATTGCCAGGGCTTGTTAACAGACATCCAGTTCTTTTGCTTATACTGCTTTCTCTACTTTTTCTGATAGCTGTCTTGCCTTTGATGAATAATTCTTACAAATTTAAACTGTGACTCTGAAGATTGTTTTATGTAGAAAAGAATTTTAAATAATATTTTACAAATATTCATGTGTGTGCATTTGCTCATGTCTTATTGACGTCTACCAGCTTGAGGCATGTTTTTATAACCATTGGAAAGTAAAAACTGTTCTGTTAGAAAACAGTTAGAAGAGAGTTCTTTGATAGAAAGGTAGCCAATAGAAGCTGAACTGAGCCTCCTTCTCCATGCAATATAGGAGTGTTGAGTGTAGAAGCTGATCTAGTCCTCAGTTTTATGCAGAGCTGGTAAAAATCACTGCAAAGAACAGCAAGTTCTAATTTCTAGCTAACCTTTTAATGAGTTCAAAACTAGTAAGATAAAGGAAAAATTTTGTTGGGATTTTTTTTTTTTTTTAGCAATACGTTTAAGTCACATTTCTTTCCTTTTCATTGGTGTCTCTGTGATAATTCTAGTAATTTTTAACTTCATTACTTTTGACACCCCACAGTACCAATTTGGCATCACCAAGCAATTTGGCAAGGGAGAGACCACTCGGTGCTTTTCCTGCCAGACTTTGCACCTGAAATGGAAAGCTACCATCCACCTTGTTTTATTTTTATGCTTCTGTTGGGCATGTAAAATTAATGATAGGAATTGTTCCTGAAACGTGACTTGAATTTTCTCTGTGGTGGCCATCCTGTGAAAAAAAAAGAAATAAAAGGTATGGAACTAAGTGTGCTGCTTGGAGTTGCATGTTTACTGTGTTGTTTTGAGCTCAAAAATCAGGATATACTTTTATGTACATGTGTGCAGAAGCTTCCTCTTAACTGTGCAATCTGTTGTCATTTGAGTAATTACTTCTTCTGGAGGCTTGTCCTGCTGAGTAATGTGAAGTCTGCCATGAGATCCTTCATTCCTGTGCAAAGGAGAAAAAGAGATTTGAAACTGTGTACCACAAAGGTGCCTAACAAAAGCTTGGGCTACAAATAAATATTTTAATTATCTTTTGAAATTAGTTTTGTGAGATGAAAGAGAACAACTACTGTGTCTGTTGTTGTCATGTGCATAGCCCTCATCTTCACTGGTCTTTGCCCTGCTCTCTGAAGTTTTCCCTCTCCTTGGTAATTGTGGGTCAATAGATTGTGCTCTTTTTCGGCTGCCTGCTTTAGGTGGAACACCAGGACAGGCTGTGTTAGATGCTGCCATTATAGCAGTTGTGAACCATCTTTCTGTGGTGTCTTCCACTACAGCCCTCCTTCAGACCCTGCTTTCTTACCTTTGTAATAAATTACATAGACGGGGGGTTGCAAAGGCTGAAGTGGTGAAAATGGAAAGAAGGAAGAATGAAGGGGGGTGTTGGGAAGTAAATCAGCAAGTGAAACACATAGAAGCACAAAAAAGTGTGTCCTGCTGCAGGGGGAAGAAGGGAAGATTCCCAGGGGAGATGCTACCTTCAGCACCTTCTCTGAGGTGCTTGTAGGTACAAGTGGTATATTTGCCTTGAATAATTCAAGCTTGTGCTAACCCAGTAGTATGGGGGTTAAGCTTTAACTTGATGGTTGTGAGGTTAACTTGAGGTTGAGGGTGTTTGGTTCTATCTCCCTGACATGCACACACCTGGTAACTTGCATACTGGAGTCCCGAAATTCTAGCGCTTTGTTCTGCTGATGTGGGATGCAGGTCAGTGAAGTACAAAACCTTGCGTTTAGGAGTAACTGGCTAAGGACAAGCAAGTACTGATCAGGCAGAAAATGAAGAAAGGGGGGCACCTGACTTGTCAACAGCATGACAGAAAACAATCGGACATTTCTGGGAACTGTGAGCTCAGAACAAATCAGTGAAAAAGTGCTGTGGAAAAGGTATAGGATCATCCTAGGGTGTAAAGCCGGAATTTATGAAGTGCAATGAACTTGGTCTCCTCAGTGGTGAGGATTCAACTGGATTTCTGCATCCCATTTTTGCCCACGTTTTGTGAGAGAAATAAAAATAAACAAGAACTGCTGGAAATTTATTTGTGACTTAGTAACATTGTTTCTTCAGGGTAAATGCAACTCGTGATCTTATTCAGAAAAATTGAATATTCTAGTCATAGGGTAACAAATGCAGTCAGTAATGTCTTTCTGTATCCTATGTTTCTAGCAACCTAAACTCCATAAACTCAGTTTTTGGGCCTTGCAGTTGTGAGACCAAAGTGCTGAGCTGGAGGGTTCCTGAACTGGAGCTTCCGGCTGCAGGCCTTGGGAGCTTAGCAGCAGCACACTGTCTGGGAGGGACTGGCTGCAGAAACCACTTAGTCTCTCTCTTTTTCTGTCTGGGTCATTTCAAGGTCCTGCTCTTAATCTTCAAAGCTTTTAATTTTCTGAGATTAGGCTACCTCAGGACCTGCCTTTCTGACATACTGAAGCTGTTGTGTTCGTCAGGATCATTGAAGCTTGCTGAATTCTGAGTGAAGGCTTTAGTAGCTGGATATTCATGGCATTTTTAAAATTTTAGAACCTCAACTGTGGAAACTCCTATTCAGAGTAACAGGAATGTCCTGCAATCTGGCTGTTTTCAGCATCTTTTTTGCCAAAAGTTCCTGTTTGCCCAGGGAAAAATGATTAAGATATTTATTTGTTTTTTAAACGCTATTGAAAGGAGACTTATGAGTAAAACAAAACAAGCAGAAAACATGTTCTTAAAAATTTGTATTGGTTTTGAGAGGCTGCGGGTATTTATTTTCTCTGTGAAGGATTGGATGAGCATAGTGAAAAACATGGATTTTTTTTCAAAAGGAAAGAAAAGGATGGTAGCAATTAGGCTGAAGGTTTAATGTGTATCTGTAAATAACCGGTATAAGAAACACATGTACTCATGCAATTTAAAATTAATTATTTTCTGTTACTGAATATAGAGAAAAGAGGCATTTGGTAGTTGCCATCTACTTCCAGCAGAATCTAAACTTCTGTTTAAGGAAGGAGAAAACCCTACACACATGTCCCCATAGCCTGTAGGGCTAACTCTGGGAGTAAAATGGGTGGGGATTGAACTGCTTTCCTGACTCCACAACTTTGGTA